TTTCTAATTGTGATGTACTTGTGATTGCTTTTTTTCTTATGTTGAAAACAATAAAAAAAAATTTTGAAGAAAAAAAAAAAAAGGCAACAAACATATACAATACTCTTTCCTCCTCCTATTTTTCCCACAAAAACAACCCTGTGAGGTGGGTTGGGCTAAGAGAGAGAGAGATTGCCCAAGGTCACCCAGCTGCTTTCATTGCGTAAGGTGGGATTGGAACTCACAGTCTCCCAGTTTCTAGCCTGGTGCCTTAACTAGACTGGCTCTTCTTTTCCCATTTAAATTATTCAGTAGTTTTGTAACTGAAAATCCATCAAATATCTGGTGCTGAGTACTACCAAGTGGGTCAGGCTTTGCTGCTAAACCCTCATTTGCGTACACCTGCTTTACTGAAGAAGTCAGAATTGCAGGTACTGTAACTAGTTTATTGTGTGTTTTGTACACAGCAACCTTGATGGGTCAGAAATCTGGACATCCCAAGGAAAAAAGATATCCCAAACTGTATGGTTATCAGATTCTGGCACCAGAAGAAGGAGAAGAAGACAAAGAAAACCACAAGAAAGAAAACAACAAGGATTTGGAAAAAATTAGCAAGCAGTTTGAAGAAATCATTGGAATGGCAGACTCAAGAAACGGTACTTTGGTCTTTGATTTGTGCTTTATTTATTGATCTGACTTTTATTTGTGTATGCTGCTCCTTTCAGAAAGAACCCTTTTGGCATGTTGCATAGCAAAATACAATATAAAACAAGCTCCATAGGAAAAGAAATAAAACAAGAATGCTACTAGAGAAGGGAGAAAATAAAAGATGGCAAGGAGAGTCAAATCAGAGAACAGCTGTCTGGAAAAATCCGGTTTCCAGGAGCTTGTAAAAAAGCAATGAAGAGGCAGCCAGCTTGATAGCCTCCATACTAGGTCCAATGGGCTGGACTACAGCTGGCTGCAAAAGACAATCCAGAATGTATCTGGATGCTAAACCATGAAGGGCTTTATTTACAGCTCAAACCAGCACCTTTAATTGGACCTGGAATCCAACTGAAAACCAATTTGGACTCCACAAAGCTGGTGTAACCTGCTTCCAGTGTTGGAGCCTGTAAGTGTGCAGCTACTGTAACTAGTTGCAATTTTGGAATAGTCTTTAAGGACAGCCCTAAGTCTAGTGTGTTACAGTGGTCTGGATGCCGGGAATGGGGGCATAGGTTTTCATGGCCAATTTCTATTGCCTGTCATCATTTTCCTCTATGGTTGCCTATTATTATTTCAACTCCTTAGATAAGGAGGACCATAGATATTTTTTCATTCAATCCTTCGTAACAAAACTCTTACTATAATAGAGTTTTACTAGGATACCAGATTTTATAGCATTATAATTTTATAAGCTGGAACTCCTACTCTGGGGACAGAGAGTCTTGATTTCATATTTCTCTTTCTGGCGCTTGGAAAAAGTTGTATTCCCAAGGTTGAAACTCCAGTGGCAGAAGACTTGAAAATAGCATAGGTCAGTGATGGTGAACCTTTTAGAGACCGAGTGCCCCAAAACTGGCCCGCCCCCGTTCTGCCCCCCCCACCCCCACTCCGCCTGCCCGCAGGGCCATTCACCGCCTCCAGGGTCCACCGCAGATTGCCCAGGCAGCCCAGCAGTGCTATGGCAGTCACGCCCTCTGCCCGCGCCCTGCAGCATCAACTGTGCATGATGGGGTGTGAGGACTGAGTCTTGTCTACGCTGCCTGGCTGCCATGTCCTTGGCTGCGCTGCTCTGGGTGGGCCACGTTCAGGGGCGACTCTCCTTCAGGGGGGTTGCTGGAGAGGAGGAATTGCGGGGGAGGCGAGGCTAGGGCAACGGCACGTGTGCCCACAGAGAGGGCTCCAAGTGCCGCCTCTGGCATCCATGCCATAGGTTCGCCACCACTGGCATAGGTTGTGGAAGGGATTACATTTACCAGAAAACTAATGAAAATAATTTTGAATTCAGTGCTCCTTCCTCTAAATGGGAAAGTCCTGCACGCTTTTCTCCTTTGAGTATAAGTCTCATATTGCTATAGATGTCCTGTAGTCTCTCTGAAAAAGCAGGTAGCATTAGATATCTGCAATATCTTTCTCCTTCCTTTTTGTCCAAGCTGCTCATTCTAGTTTTGGGTCTTTCAGGTGCTGTTGGCTTATACAACATTGGATTGAGCTGCTGCATCAACTCATTGCTTCAAAGCTTCTTAATGAACAGATACTTCACTACGATACTTCGGAGGTGAGTCATGCTCAGAGGGTATAGTTAATTTGTCCTCAATCTAAAGAGTGTTCCTTTTCCAACATTAGTAGCTAGAAAACCATGGCTAGTTTTGGAGAAGCTAAGCAAGATTGGCCTGGTTAGTGTTTGGATGAGAAACTGCCCCTCGCTTAGACTGGGATTGCATTGGTTTGTGGGAATGGCCTTGTGTCATTAACTTAGCAACTGCAGTGATTCACTTAACAAGAAAGATCATAAAATGGGGCAAATTTCACTTAACAAATGTCTCATTTAATAACTGAAATTTTGGGCTCAATTGTGGTTGTAAGTCAAGGACTACTTGTAGTTAACTTATGATTAGTTGCCTAGCAACCTGTTGAAGTTACAACCGGCCCTCCCACGACTTATGATTTGCTTTCAAAGTTCTGATGTTACCTCTCCCCATGGTCACGTGACTGAGCCACATTTGCAGCATCTCACAGTGACACGATTGCAATATTCAACATTTTTTGTCAGTTTCTTGCATTTACTTCTAATTTCCAGCAAAAAAACCCACTCTTTGGTATAATGGAATCTCTTAACAGCCATGGTATTTGCTTAACGACTGCTGTGAAAAAAATCGTAAAAGTGGATTCAGTAATGTGGTGACCTGCTTTATGACTGTCATAAATAGGACTGTAATTGCCAGGCTCAATTACAGTCATAAGTCAAGGACTACCGATAGTAAGTTGCTTCTATATTTTTGCCCAGAAAATAACGTAGGCATGTGTACATGGCTTCGAGGAACCACAGAGGCAATAATGTGTGCAGACAGTTGAGAAATGAAAATAGGAAATGCCTATTCTTATCTCTTCTTCTAACAATTTATCTGGGTAAACGTTTAGGCAAGCCAGCCTCCCCATTTGCAGAATGAAAAAAATGAACATTCCTTTTCAGGATTGTTGCAAAACCATAGAATAATTTCAACATTTCCTACTTCCTAGTACCTGTGGCTACTATTATGATTAACTGGAACCATGAAGCTGGTGTGCAACAGCAATGCATTATTATTTAATAAAACATGTATTATTTACACAGATAATATTTTATTTTTATAAAAATAATAAAAGTTTTAAATTTCTACATTGAAGTTTTAAAGCCACATTTAAATCGTTGGCCTCCTCCCTCTTCTTTATGGCGATGGCAAAACTGCAATCTCTGTTGTTGTTAGTGGCGAAGTCGTGTCCGACCCATCGCGACCCCATGGACAACGTTCCTCCAGGCCTTCCTGTCTGTACAATATAGTAAACGTGTTAGGTTTTTATTTCTTTTTAAGGACCTGGCCTTCAAGTATGAGCTCAGTTTTTCCTGACTGTGAAAGACAATCATATTTTGATTCTTTTCACTGCAGGATTAAAGTACCGCTTGGAGCAGCAGAACAGAAGGCCAGTGTCCCTTACCAAATGCTTCTGCTGTTAGAAAATATGCAGCGGGCCAAGGGGAAGTCTGTGCGCCCTTTCCATCTTATCTACTGCCTTTCTCTTCACGGCGTGAGATGTAAGGAAGATCTGGAGCCTCTTGGATACCATTTGGATGGCATAACCTTTAGGGATTGGAAAGCAGATAGTGTTAGCTGGGGAAGGCAAAATTCTGTAAATGGACTTATTGGGCTTATTAGGAGTCCAAAATGGGTTAAAAATGTCTAGGGATTTGGAAAATAGAAGAATATAGTCATGGAAGTAGATGAGAGTATTAGAATTTGGAAAACTAATGTAAAATCCCCTATGCTAAATTGTGGCTTATTGTCTCTTCTAGTGTTTGTTGGCCACGATGCTTCAGAAGTCTATTACAAAATCTGGAACCTACTTAAAGACCAAATCACAAACACAGACCTGGTAAAATCCTATTTTTATAAAGAAGAAAAAAATACTTTTATCACTGTGGTTTTATAGAAGCGTGATGAGTTAATTAATTGTAATCCCCTTTAAGAAAAGCCCAATTGCTGGACTTCACACTTTGACTACTCTCCATTCCTATTTGCTGTGGTGGCTGTCTGAGCATCCAGTGTTATTAGTGTAACGTAGTTTGGCTCTGAGTTTTAAATGGAAGCTTGAATGGAAAACAGTATTATGGGAAATGTGGAGTCCTGCTTCGTCTACTGATGTCCTAGACGAGTAAAGATGATTCTCTCCCAACTTAATGATTATATATTTAACAGAATGATTATATATTTAAGAGAGAGCAGAAGAGAAAAAAGAACTAATTAAATGATCGTAATTGTTTCCCCCCCCCCCTATTGCTCTCTGTTCAATGTAGTGGTGATCTCTGTTGCATATTATTTAATTTGACCAAGTTTTTTTTGGTGTTGGAGGGAATTATGGGAACTACAATTCTAACTGTCTGGACATCAGTAAGTCGGACGTGGTAGAGCATTGCATTAGATGGTCTCACAATGATAGGAACCAGATAGAATCTATGTGTCAAACTGTGTAGTATTGTATCTGTATTGGTAGATACAGTCCTTGACTTAACAACCATTTGTTTAGCAACTGAAAAAAGTGACTTATGAGCAGTCCTCACACTTATGACCATCACGATATTCCCCCCTGGTCACGTGATCAAATTTTGGGTGCTTGGCAATTGGCTTGCATTTATGATGGTTGCAGTATCCCAGGGTCATGTGATCACCATTTGCGACCTTCCCAGCTGGCTTCTGACAGGCAAAGTCAATGGGGGAAGCTGGATTCTTTTAACAACTGGGTGATCTTATCGTGGCAAAAAAAGTTTGTAAAATTGGGCACAACTCACTGAACAACCACCTTGCTTAGCAACAGAAATTCTGGTCCCAATTGTGATCATAAAGCAAGGACTACCTATATAGCCTGCTCTAAGCTCTTGCCCTCTAGATCAGTGTTTCTCAACCTTGACAATTTTAAGGCATGCTGGCTGTGGAATTCTGGGAGTTGAAGTTCACATGCCTTAAAATTGTCAAAGTTGAGAAACACTGCTCTAGATAGACCTGAGCCTTCCACATACATGACAGAAAGAGGTTCTTGGATTCACAGTTCCAGCATGTGGTTGTTATCAAATTAGGAAAGACTGGTACAAAATCACATTTCTGGGAAAGCAATAAAATAATAATAATAATAATAATAATAATAATAATAATAATAATAATAATAATAATAATAATAATAATAATAATAATATTGTTTTCTTTTTGGTTCTTCTCACTTTCCATCTGTTGAAGGTTGAAGAATTGACTCATCTGTATACCATCCATTTACGAGAGCTCTTGGTGTGCCAGAAATGTTCCCATGAAATAAAGATAGACAGTAACCAGCTAATGCTTCATCTTCCAATGTTTGATTTTGATTCCCGTCCGATTATTAACTTGGTAAGTTCATTTGGGCATTTTTGAAAGACAGGAAGATGCAACCAAGATACTCTAAGGCAGGCATGTCAAACTTGATTTATTTATCAAATTTCTCTGCTGCCTAGCTCACTATTCAAAGTGACCGGGCAGCTTACAATACAATAAAAAGCATAAAAACAAAAACATTAAAATTAACAGAAATTAGATAAAACTAAGAACCAGGTACACAAGTGATAAGGAGGTGAGATCTTTTTCGTAACTCCACCAACCACCTCCAGTGTAAAGCATCTCCTTTGGGGGCCCAAGCCAACCCGCAGAGCCACGTTTGAGGTTCTTCCAAAAGACCAAGAGTATGGCGGTGGATATCACCTCTGACAGCAAGATATTCCAAAAGGCAGGGGCCACAGCAGAAAAGACCCTTCTCTTAGACTCCACCTGCAAAAATTCCTTGCCTGATGAAGTCTGCAGCATGCTCCTTGATTACTTTAAATAGGTGGTAAAAGTGCATTTTCAGAGGTATTACTCTTAACATTACCACTGGTAGTTTGAATGATGCAACCTATAGCTGAATATATCTGGAGAATTGCAGGTTTGGAAATGGTAGCTTTATGGCCTTAATTTAAGTGGAAAGAATTAAATATGGGTTGTATTGGAGGGAACTGATATCTGTTCTTGCTTTCTACAATTTATTATTCCTCTTTTCCTAGGAAAATTCACTACGCAGTTTTTTCAGACCAGAGCAATTAACTAAAGAAAATACAAGTTACTGTACGAAGTGTGACAAGAAAACATCATGTCTGCAGGTAATGCTGTTTTAGGTGGCGGAATAGGAGAGATGATTGTTTTGGGAATTTCATTGCCTTTATATTTTAGGATTAAATTATTTGTTTGCCTAAGGTAACTAGTATTGTATCTCTTTATGGCTAGAAAAAATCCACAAAGCAGTTCCATGGCTTTTGTCAAACACACCTTGGAAGAAGCCTCCAGTATATTTTACTTAATGTTAGACCCAGATTTTAGGCCGTCCAGGTTGATAATTTTGGGAATTGAAGTTTAATTGTATCACAATTACATACAATTAAATTGTATTTAATTGTAGAGAAGTCCCTTCTTTGTAGTTTCTTAATGTTGGCTGCAATGGACTATTTTTTGCTGGTCCTTGAACCCCAGTTATGGCCCTTAAAGCCTTCTTCAGGTACAGTTGGCCAGAACTGGTGTGTTTCCAACCAGGAATAGGACACAGCCCTTTCCCCAGGGATCTCCCAGTGTCTATCAAGACTGTCTATTCAGACAGAATGTTTTTTTGCTGATTTTGCAGAGGATGAAAATAATGTATTTGCCACGCATGTTGACGCTGCATCTTGCTCGCTTCCGTTCCAAAGATGGCAACAGAACTAGGAAAGTCACACATAGCTTGACTTTCCCACCAACTCTAGATTTCAGCCAAATCTTGGCACCGGAACAGTTTCATCCAGATGCTAAAAAGAAGGTAGGATATTGACATGCATTCCCTCTGGCATTAAGGCTACTATCATTTAGGGCAGTGGTTCTCAACCTTTTTAATGCCGCGACCCCAACCGGTCGTACGTCAAGGACTAAACCGGTCGTAAGTCGAGGACTAAACCAGTCGTAAGTCGAAGACTTTCCCTGTCCGGGAGCGCAGCGCATGCGTGGTTCTGCCCCCTGCGCCGGCCGAGGCGTAGCTGGCAAGTGGCAGAGACGGAGCAGGCCGACCACCAGCTGGCCCAGCCCAAGGGAGGTAAGGCACCCGCCGGAAAGGGGGAAAAAAATGGCGGACAGAAAAAATGGCGGACAGCCTTGCTTGGCGACCCCCGTGAAATGGTCGATCGACCCCAAATGGGGTCCCGACCCACAGGTTGAGAACCACTGATTTAGGGTGAGCAATTGCGATCTGAGGGGTAAAGCCAGTCCTTGAACCCCAGTCATGGTCTTTAAAGCTTTGGATAATATAATTACCCAAAATTAGTATTTCAGACCAGGAGGAAGACATAGCCTTTTCTCCATGGATTTTCCATTGTTTATCAAGGTGTCCATTCAGACAGAGCTTTCTGATATTCTCTAATCTGTTCAGCTGGAGACACCTTAGTCCTTATATCCTGGATGTTTTCCTTCAGCCTGGTTCTAGAAAAATATATATGAAGGTACTTTGGATCCCCACCCCCAAACCCTGAAATGCAGATCTTAACAAGTCCAGTGTAAAGTGTAACTGTGCAGTCTTGCATGTTGGGAAGGCTTGCCTGAACAGTGTTTATGGGAAAGTAGATCTTTCTCTCTTTGTCTGAAAGGAAAAGATAAAATGAGAATCACATTTCAAATAAAATAACACAATCAGCCTAATTAAATTGATTAGCTATTTCCCCCTTGAATAAACCCTAAGTCTCAGGCCCAGTTTTCTCTGAAAACTAGCCTTGGCCCGATCTATGATAGCCTGAAAATTTTTCAAGACCGCTGTTCCAGAGGATCTTGAGGAATGACTGTTCCCCATTTTTACTTACATATTTCTTATTTATTACCAAATACTGTATTCCTGGTTGTTCGTTATTTTTATTTACTGTGGAAATTTTATATTAGTATGTAAACTGCATTGAGTCTTGAAGATTTAGCAGAATACAAATTAGATATATAAATAAAAAGATTATTTCTTTTCTCTTTATTTTAACTAATAGTTTTGTAGAATATAAAGAGTAAATGAAGGTGAGTTTTAGGTAAAATGGAGAAGCTGATTGGCTCTACCCAATCATGAAGAGGTTCTTGGTTGATGTCTACATCTAGTCAGCAAATTAGAAATTATTGAGAGACTAAACCCACTTCCTTAAGACCTTTGTTGAATTATAAAAGTAGTTTGATTTCCACCTTTCACGTTTTGTCTTTGTATAAATCGTTATATGAGTCTGAAGATGAAAGCTGGTTTCCATTTATTCAGGATGCTTAATATGAGGTGGCTTTATAAAAAGTTTTAGGGTGCCTTATTATGCCAGTTCTTTCCCCTTGAAGAAGAAAATGGTATCCAAGAAGCCAGCCCAAGACTGAAAGAGAGGGGCATGCCAGCACCATCAGCAAATGGCTAGTAGACATCAGGCTCTATAATCCTGTGTGAATCATCTTGACTGCGCCAATAATAGAAGAGTTGACCAAGTGCATTAGATGTTATCTACCTTGAAACAGCCATGGTTTATTTGAGAAATACTACTTTAAAGCCAGAAAAGATCAGGATGAGGTGAAGGAAACATCACAGAGACACTGTAGGGCATATTCGTAGCATACTTCGATGTACTGTAGGTGGAGGAAATGCCTTTTCTTCCCTCCCAACTTGCCCTGCCAAGCAACTACCTGAAAACTCCCAATTATCTGATCTACTTCCTGCATCAGGATTCTTCCCTGCTCTCTCCCCTAAAATAAACAATTGCCTTGTTGGTAAAATGCCCTAATTGCTCTATAGAAAGCAAGCCTGCAAAAATGGTAACTTGTTAAGGGAAAGAGTTGAAACAAAAGAACTCATGTTGTGGACAATTGTCCTTTGACAGTAGAAGGTCCAGAAGTGATGTGACAATAATAGTCATTTCCTATTAAAAGAAAAAAAGTGTTGTATCTGCTTTGTTCCTCAAAGTATTGTTCTGTACTTCTTTCCAGTGTGATGGGATGTACGATCTCTTTGCGGTGATTGCCCACTCGGGACTAGCTGACTTTGGTCATTATTGTGCCTATATCTGGAGTCTCACCGAATATAAGTGGTATTGCTTCAACGATTCCAGTGTTTGTAAGGTGAGGAAGCCAGACACTCTTGGAGATAGTCTTTCAGAATCACAATCACTTCCAATGTTGTTAGATACATTTTGACTTGAATCTGGGGTTCCTGCAGGCAGAATGGGATAACATGCCATAGTTTCTCCTCAGGGTTGTGTCCTAAGTCCGCTGTTGTTCACCTTGTTGACTGATGACTGTGGTGCCAGGTTTGCCACCAACCATATTGTGAAGTATGCGGATGATACAACAGTAGTGGGCCTTATTTAAGATGACAATGAGGCTGCTTATCGCAAGAAAGTAGAGGGTTTGGTGAACTGGTGTAACAAAAACAGCCTCGTTTTAAACGTAGGAAAAACTAAAGAGATCATTGTTGATTTTAGAAAAGGCAGGCACAGCCACACTGCTCTGTGCATTAATGACTCACCTGGTTAGCAGCATCAAGTTTCTGGGTATGCAGCTAATGAACAGACTAGCCTGGTCGCTCAACAGTGAGACAATGGTGAAGTGAGCACAGTAGCACCTGCATTTTCTGTGTCGCATGAGAAAAGCACAACTTCCTTCCCCTGTCCTTACCACTTTCTACAGAGGGTCAATCAAGAGCATCCTGTCATATGGCATTAACAGTCTGGTTTGGAAGCATCACTGCTTCAGACAGGAAGGCAGTGCAGAGAGTGGTGAGGATGGCATTGGTAGTTCACTTTCTTCTATCCAGGACATAGCATATAAGCGATGCTTGAGCAAAGTCTGCAGGATTGTGTGGGACATTAACATTCTCTTCACAACCTATTTTCTTTGTTACCTTCTGGGAGGACGCTCGGTGGTATCCGAAGCAGAACATCTAGATTCAGTCACAGTTTCATTCCATATAGCATCAAACTTGTGAACTCTCAAATTTCTTCTTTCTACTATGTATTCAAAATGGACAGTGATTTGTGTGTGTGTGTGTAGATATACATAACACATACACATGATATACATTTACATATTCCAATAAATAAGCTGTGAGCACCAGGAGTATATTAAACTAACAATGTTTAATAACACAAAACATATACACACCAAGCTTTCGTCGGAATCCTTCCGACATCGTCAGGGTTAAATGCCAGTCCATGGGAGAGTCTCTTTTATAAACCACCACATTTACATATACATACATGTAGATACTTATACATACATATACATACATAGATGTCAACACTGCTCTTGCTTTGACAACAGATGGAAATGTAGCCATCTTTTCTCTATCGCTTTTAGAGTTCGTTGATGCTGGGAGGAGGAATGTGGATGAGAGTCCAGCTAGTTATAACAATAATAACTCAGCCATGGGAACCCAAGGTTATTGCGCCCAGAGTTGATAGAAATTTGGCGGGCAGGAGAGATGGGGAGAAAGCCCACATTTCAAGTTAATTGGGGAATGTGATTTATGAGTGTTAATTGGAGGAGGGAATTGCACTTTGCTACTTTGTGCCAGGGGAGGGGAATTCAGTTTTTGGCTTCAGCTATGTAGTGCTGATACTTTGTTTCTCAAATAAAAGATTCTTTAAGGAAAACAAGGCCTCAAAGTTCTTTTGAAGAGATTCATCTGTCGGAACCATGACATATACATATACATACATACATACATACATACATACATACATACATACATACGTGTGTGTGTGTGTTATGGGTATGGGTAGATATATACTTTATTTTGAGAGCAGGCAACAATTTCATTTTTAATGTGGGCCAGTGTGCTCATAGTAAAAAGGGCTGAATGTGGTCCTGGGGTTGTAAAATGCCAGGTCTGGTCTATGCTATGGACTAATTTGCTTCTATGTTGTTTGACAAACAACAGTTAAAATAAACCATGACTTTCCATTCAATGGGTGAAACATGTTTCAAAAAATATCCTTGAATGTGGACGCTTCTGCTTTATATTCTGCAGGTATTCTGGGATGATATCAAATCTACTTATGGAAGACAATCTCTCTGTTGGTAAGAAAGGTTTTATTCTAATCCATCTGAAATAGTAGTTCAGAGACAGGAGAAGGTGGAAACCACCGAATACAGCTGGCTGTATGGAGAACAAAATTAGATCAATACAATATACAGGTAGTCCTTGACTTATGACTACAGTTGAGCCCAAAATTTCCATTGCTAAGACAGGTGTACTGTGAGTTTTGCTCCATTTTATGACCTTTCTTGCCACAGTTGTTAAGTGAATCACTGCGGTTGTTAAGTTAGGAACACAGTTGTTAAGTGAATTTGGTTTCCCCGTTGACTCTGCTTGTCAGAAGGTCTGAAAAGGTGATCACATGACCCCGGGACATTGCAAGCAGGATAAATATGAACCAGTTGCCAAGCTCTGAATTTTGATCACGTGACCATGGGGAAACTGCAATGGTTGTAAGTATAAAAACCAGTCATAAGTCACTTTTTTCAGTGTTATTGTAACTTTGGCCACTAAATGAATCGTTGTAAGTTGAGGACTATCTGTATTGTCTTTTCCTATTGATTATGAGACTTTTGGAGGACACCAAATTCCTTGTGCCAGTTAGAAGCTAGTTAAATTGACTGAATTCCGGGCAAATGAACTTCATATGATTCTATGTACTTCCCTGAAAGATGTTTGAAGGAGTAATTCTTGTGTTATCAGTTGATCCGCTTTCCCATCATTCATTATTTCTTTCATGTTTTGCAGGGGTGAAACTGCCTACCTTCTGGTTTACATGAGAAGGAGTAGCAGATCCCTCCCAATGGAAATGAAGACTCACAGTAACTGGGAAAGGCCCATTCACACTCCCTGAATTAACCCAGCAAGTTGAACCCATGTCCATCAACATCAGTGAATGACAATTCATATGAAAAATGTATATCTCAAAGGGAGAATTAGGAATGTAGTTAGCCCTCTAGAAAATGAGTACATAAACAAAAGAATGAATTTCTTTCTAAATAGTTCTGGAAAACTGCCCATAATTCCTTCTTGGGGGTCCAGTTTCTAGAGCAGTGGTGGCGAACCTATGGCACGCGTGCTAGAGGCAGCAGTCAGAGACCTCTCTGTGGGCACGCGCGCCATACCCCGGAGATGGCAACTGTCTCTCTTCAACCAGCCGCCTGCTAACTTGCCGAGGTCCCACGTGGCCGGATGCATCCCAGCACGGCTGGTTTCCCTCCCCCCGTCCCGTCCCTCCTGGCCTCGCATGCTCTCCTTTTCCCAGGCATGACCCACTCCATTGCCTCAGCTGTTGGCCGGCCATCTACCTCAGAGGCGGCTTTTTTGAACTGCTGGTGGCAGGCTGCAGAGCCACAGAGTGCGCTGGTTGAGGGGCTGGCAGGCTGTGACTGCTGACGGGCACTGTCGGCCCTCATGCACTCGCTGGCTTCTGTGTGCAGGGGCTGATGGTGTCAAGCAGTAGGTGCCCCGGCCCTTGCCTTGCCACATGGCAATGGCACCCCTGCCCTGCCTCGCCTCACCCCGCAGGATGAGCCTCCTGCCCCACCTGCCAGAGACCCCCTGGATCTCCCCCAACCCTGCCCACCCACAGGCATCCCTCCCCATGAGCAACATTGAGGTGACCATGCCCATCTTGGGCACACCCACTCAATCTGCCATGACCACCACAGCCACCCCCATCCAGTGGGCCACGCCCACCTGGCACCCGGCAATAAATAAGTGGGGTTTGGGTTGCAGTTTGGGCACTCGGTCTCTAAAAGGTTCGCCATCACTGTTCTAGAGTGATCACAATTTATCAATTAACATAGGAGTAAATTTTAGTATTTCTGCACAAGACTAATATATACAAGTGTGTCTGTTTAAAATGAACTTGTATACTTGAAATTGCATTTTCAGTGGCCTGAGTAACTTGCTTTTTCTTTAGGGGGACATAGTTTTATACAATGGTTAACTACCAGCTACTCTTTCCTACAGAGAGTCATAGGAATTGTAAGATGCTGCAATTGAAAAAGAGATACTTTACATCTGCTTAAATTCGGGCACATTGTATAATAGAAGAACACTTGGAGCATATATTTCTTAGATCAACAAGTTTGTAATTTGCTATACATTTCAACATCAGTCATAGAATGAGGTCTTCTCTACTCTCTTACGATTACTCCAGTGCTTTAATTTGATGTATTTTATGATGATGTATTTTATTATAGCCACCCATGTGCCAGAAATTGCTTGGAATGGGGAAGTGAATGAAATGACACTTTTTTTTCGAAAATGAATGGTTACTTGATCTACCTCAGGTTTCCTTGGACATGTTCATAAGACTGACAAATGAGTGATAGAGTATAAAAAATAATCAACTGGCTATAAAATTAGCTACTTGGCTTAGTGATGGAATAATAATTACTGGCGCTGGACTAGCAAGCGTATAAATTTAATAAATAAATTATCAAATTTAGCAAAAGGGTTTGTATCTACAACAGATTTATTTTGCTTTATTTTAGTTTTGCTTTATTTCAGGAATGCTTTATACTATTATTTATAATAATATAATGCTTTATATATTTATAAACTAATTGTTTATAAATAATCAGTATCATCAACCTGTCATTGCAATATTTATGAATAATGTTATATTTTAATTATATTTTCTTGCTTGGAAAATATTCTATGCCATGAAGCAGTTAAGTAATTCTCTGAAGATGCAGAAAGAGAGTTAATCATATCATTCTGTTAAGTTGATGAGAAACCTCTGATGGGAGCAGATCTAATAAAAATGCAAATAAGGATTGCAGCAGATCATAAATGAGTTTTAATTCAGTTATGGAATATTAAGGTGTGTTTGGACTTTGGAAAATCCAAAGTGAAGATATACTAAATACAATTTGTACAGCCTATGGTCATATTAATGTTGAGGAATTCTAGAGGGCAATATTAATCTGATCTGGATACAGGTTTCCTCTCCATGTTTATGTTCATGTAATGACCCACTGGCAAAGTAGACAGGTCAAATCTAACCTTACAAGTTTTGGCTTCTCCAACCCTACTAGTTTTTAGATGAGAAAGCACTTGGGCTGAGACTAATTTCCCTTTTAAAAGACAATTTGAAACAAGCATTAGTGGTGAAGAAAGCATTCAAATGTTCTGTCCCTGTTCCGACCCGCACACCCAAACAGCCAGCCGAGGGTTTAAAGACTTCTCCAGACACCACTTCACAGATAAGAAACTTGGCAGCAGCTCCGTAGCTGCCTGCCAAGACCTTTTACTCCAAACACACAGAAACAAAAACAATACACACAGTTTAAAACCACAGCACACTACTTTGCCAGAGATTCAGCTTTTGTCCGTCACAGAGGTCCAAA